CATGACCGTTGCAGCTTCCCTGTAGAAAAATTAGCAAAATTCAGACACTTGGCAACTGACTCATATTTAAGATTGTTGCAGTGTCCTAGGATCATGTGATCACCTTTTGCAATCTTCTGTAAAGCAGTCAATAGAGAAGCCAGATTCACTTAATAATCATCTTACTAACTTAAACAACTTCATTGATTCACTTAATGACTGCGGCAAGAAAGATTGTAAAATGGGGTAAAACTCACTTAACAAATGTTTTGCTTAGCAACAGAAATGTTGGGCTCAATTATGGTCATAAGTGTAGGACTGCTTGCAAAGTGTTTTCAGAATGCAGCCCGACTATGATCAATATTTTAAATTTGGCATAGCATCCAGTGCTTATTTTTCTAACAGCTATCTAGATATGTATCCTATATGTTAAAGTTAAATGATTCTATGAAAATGTACCATTTATTACTTGGAGACTTGGAAATCATGCAAAGAAAAAATATGGAGAGAAATTACAGTATGTCAGAGGTGAAATGTAGTGGCAATGTGGGAAGAACATTGTTATTTTGAAAAGTTACTGAGATATTTTGATTTCTCCTTCATATTAAGAATAGACTAACTTAGAACTAGCCTTCTCCTTTTCCACTCTTGCTTGCTGAACAAAGGAGAAGGGGGAGAAATCTTCATGTAGTTTCAAAGCTTCTCTTGCTGCGAAAATTTCAGACTTTTGATTCCCATCCTAGATTCATGTGCCAATCAGTCAAGGTCAGGTATTCCAGTCTCCTAAACATAATAGGGCCATGAAATCAGTGTCAAGTTTTGATAAAACCTTTAGATTGTTGTTAATTGGGGAGCTTCTGTAATGGAACCGAGCACTGAGTACTGTTGAAAGCATATGTACTGTCATTGTTAAGGAACTTCTGGCAGCCTTTAAGAGATTTGGGTGTTATCTTGCTTGTTATGTATGCTTTTAATTCTGTTGCTTGAACTAATAATAAGCTTAAAATCCTTTTATTTATTAGTGTGCTTATTATCTCTGGAACCAAAAGAACCAAGTGCAGTTCACAGGTGCGTGTACATTTTTTTTAGCTTTAGTAACTGAGAAAGTTGGTTGAATAAAACTCATTTGCAGTCTAATGGGTCACTGATTGTTAGAGAAACCACATTTTTGGTGAAGCAAGCAGATCTTATCATTAGGTGGTTGTTTCAGGATCAAATAATGGGAGGTAAGAGAGTAGTGATGAGGTCTCATGAGCGAAAATGTGTATTGTGCCCCTGAAAGATGCTGTTCCATTGTTGATGATGCAGTGAGATTCAGAGACTGGGAATTGATGTGGCCTGCTCCTTTGCCTCATGAATGGATAATTCAGTGACCCAATAAGATTTAGTAAGATTGTGAATAAACGTGGATGGATGGTGGCTTATTCACCTCCACTCCCTTGTAACATGTTTTTCCAAGACATATGAGGCTACACTAAATAGGGAGAAGGAAAAGAAAGTGCAGAGTAGAGTCTCATTTTGTGCTGCCTTTCTAGGGATATATTTCAAAAGCAGAGAGGTGATTAATGCTTCATTCTCTCAACATTGCTTATGTGACAGTTAACTGGAAGGCATTAGTCTGAAGCTAAAATTAAATCCATTTGTGACAATTTAAATGGTTTGTACAACCATTACAGCTCAATTTTTGTGTGAATAGCGCTATTAAATTTTTGGCTCTTGTTCCTTTTTTCCCACCAAAACATTTTTGCCCATTAGTTTTGAGCACCAACTGATAATAACTAGTTATTTCAGATGACTTGCACATTCTTCCTGTCAAATGGGTTTATAGTTATAGATTGATATTTGACAGTTACCTTTATGAATATATGTAACCACACCATATCTCAAAGGATTTTGCATAAATTGATTATATCAACAGCAATAGCACTTAGACTTATATACCACTTCATACCATATTGAAGTATGGAATACTTCTGAACTAGCTGCAACAAAACTCTATAGGCCACTTTTTCTGATTTGAGTTGGTTTGCCCCTATGACAGGGGTCCTCAACCTGTGGGCCGTGGCCCAGTACCGGTCTGTGGCCTCTTGGCCACTGGGCCATGGGAATGGCTGACAAGTACGCACACATGTGCATGCACCCTCCTCACTCGTGCTAACAGCCCCGTTTGTGCATGCATGGGGGTGCTAGCACCACCGCCAGCATCACGCAGGCATTAGCGTCCCATTTGCGCATGAGTGCTAGCATCACTGCTGTTTGCGCACTGCGCACATTTCCCTGCTCCTCCCTCCCTCTGGGCCACCAACCTGGAAAGATTGGGGAGTTCTTCTCTATGACTCCTGCTGTCAGTTCTAAAAGATTCCCTTGATCTGGAACTTACAGTTTATTGAATTACATGTTTTAAAAGCATCTTTTTTCCAATTCCATATCATATCACCTTTCCTTTTGTACCATTTAGGGAAGGGGGAAATGTTGTACCTTGTTAACCATGTTATAATGGTAAACAGACCAGGACTCCTAAAATTTTTATGAGTGTCTGGTCCTTGGATTCATCAGGATTAACTGCTCACTCTCAGGTGGGCAAGTCAAATACTCCTGAAGTAAAAATAAATCATCAAAGATGAACAGAATCACAATATCTGACAGGTATGGTTGATTGCAAGCAACCTTGAGGCAAAGCTTCAACAATTCATTACATTTTGTATTTAGGTAGTGTTATACAATTCAGTTGCAAAAAACTTTAATAACACTTAGACTTTTATACTGCTTCATTGTGCTTTACAGCCCTCTCTAAGCAATTTACAGACACAGCATATTGCCCAACAATCTGGGTCCTCATTTTACCAACTTTGGAAGGATGGAAGGCTGAGTTAACATTGGGCCTCTTTGTCACAGAAGCATATTTGAATCAGCATATTGCCCCCAACAATCTGGGTCCTCATTTTATCAACCTCAGAAGGATGGAAGACTGAGTTAACCTTGAGCCAGGATCGAACTGTTGGCAGTGGGCAGAGTTAGCCTACAATACTGCATTCTAACCACTGCGCCTCCAAAAAGTGAAAACTTATCGGATTTTAATACTAATGGTGAGCAAAATACAGAACAAGATTTCTCTTTGATAAATCAGGAATATTTTTCCAGTCTATAGCTAGATTTCTGTACCGTTCTGTATGTTTCACAGTATGTCAACTACTATGGACTACATTCGCACAGCCAGCTAAATGGATGCTATGGATGTCTCTAATGCTTCCAATCCCGGTCTCCATTCTTATGCTGTATACTAATTAACCTAGCTTTCTGGTATCTATGGAAAATGCTGATATTTGTGAATGAGTTAATCATGCCAAGTTGATCAAAGACCAGTACAACTATATTGTTAAATCTGTGATGTGCACATTACAAACCTGTAACAATTCTTATATTTCTGGGTCAGGACCACGTGTATATCTAAGATTGTGCATTCATGTGTAAATAATACTGAGTAACAATTCACTATCGTTAAGGTATTCAACCCAGTACTCTATAATTGTATTGTGTAAAACAGTATAAAGATACTAAGTTCAAACAAGTCAGATGAGTTCTAACAAGAGAGAAAACTCTGTTACAGTCTTTGTGCTGCTAAAGCTTATTCTTTTATTTAAATAAATTTTAAAAGAAAAACTACAAAATGTTACAAATAATATAATCTAAATACAGAAATATAAACAAATATAGATTGATGATACAAGTACATCTGAGGCAAAATTGCATCAAAAATAATGTATTATACTTCTTAAGATTCCATTTCATTCCTATTTTTATTCCTTTAATACAGTGGTTCTCTGTGGATCGGGACCCCATTTGGGGTCGAACGACCATTTCACGGGGGTCGCCAAACAACGCAGTCCGCCATTTTTTCCCCCCTTTTCCTTAGCTGTGCTACTCCCTTTTATTCTATTGGCTTTTGAAAGCCAATAGAATAGACTCTCTTGAATAGAGTCTAATTCTATTGGCTTTCAAAAGCCAATAGGAATTGTACAGGCTGTCTCTGCCCTGCTGAGCCCGCCAAAAGTCCCATTCTGCAAACGGTGCTGCAAGTTGTCTGCAGCGAAGGCGAGCTGTCTGGAAGTTTCCACCTCTCCCTGCTGAGCAACTACTAAAAATGTAAGTAAAAGAGGGCCAGGGATGGGAGGCTGGCGGGCGCAGGGAGGGTTGCTGGCGCACGTGGGGCCCGGCGGGTGCCTTACCTCCCTTGGGCTGGGCCAGCTGGTGGCCCAGCTGGTGGTCAGCCTGCGCCAGCTACGCCTCGGCCGGCGCAGGGGTTGGCATCACGCATGCGCGGTGCTCCTGGGTAGGGAAAGTCCTCGACTTACGACCGGTTGGGGTCACGGCATTAAAAAGGTTGAGAACCACTGCCTTAATACTTGAACTGTTAAACACTTCAGTTGTCTCCATAGTCATACTTTTAAATCACATATGGCCACATGAATCAAAACAATTCTCTTTAGGAATCAAAAGAGCATCTCCTGTGCAAGTGTTATAGACCATGAATAGTTTGGAAACACTTCAGCCCTGTTGAAGTATTCTTTTCCTTCAGGTTACTATTTGCATGCCTCTATAAAATAATTGAAATTCCATGATAAAGTTAATTTTTAAAAAGGCCCTAATTAAGCTGACTTTTGAAGAAGTACATATAAGTACATACAAACTGCAGCCTTGAAGCTGTATTAATATTTATATATTTATTAACCAGAACAATTTGTCTTGCTTTTGTCAAGTACCATGACTTCATCTTGCAACGCTATGGGAAAAAATGAATCCTGTTCTGAGATTTCATTGCAGCCTTAATGGCATACAACTTGCCACTCAAAACAAAAATGAACATCCCCTTCATTTTGAATTTGGACAGTCATGATGGTAAATTTAAAGTGTATTGTTCTCCCTCCCTCTAAAAAAAGATGATTATCTTGCCTCCCAAAAAGTATAGCACTGCTTATCTCCCCCCATTTGTTTGTTAGATCTAGACAAGGAGTCTGCCAAAAATTCATACTACAACTGAAAGCTATTATGGCATTCAGATCACTGACTTATGCCAGTCAATTTCAAACTCTTCACAATAGCTACTACTGCTATGTGAAGCCAAAGAGACACAAATATTTATTCTGCCTGGTTTGCCTTGTAATACTTTGTTTCTCACTTGTCACTAGATATGAGGTCATTTTTTTTTCAGCCTACTGAGTCCATACTTTTGCATATAAGCCACTATGCTGCTTGTGTGGGACAAAGTAGTAGAACTTCTGAGAGGAAAACTAGATCTGATTTAAACACAAGGCACTTTTATTCCAGTAACAATAATAATAATAATCTTTGTCTGCTTAGCCCCTTTTTAAAACAATAACAACATTAAAATGAAATCACATATTTTAGATAATATTTATTACCTAAAAACCTATCTTGATAATATGCACCCTAAATTGTAGGAGATTGCTGGATATGTTCCTTACTAAGGTTGCTAACAAGCTACCATACAAGTAAATTGCTCAAAATATTTTGTATATTAATAATTTGAAAATATGGTAGCATAACTATAGATAAACTAAATTAAACTTTAAAAACCAATTTGGTACTTTTAACTCATGAAATTTTCAAGAAATAATATTTTATTGGTGAAAGAATTTTTCTGCATTAATTTTCTACTTTTTATTTCAAATTATTGTATAAATGGGTTAGCTGTATTTAGTACAAAGCATGTATGAAGTTTAAAATACTTCATTAGGAAACAATATGTGAAGGCTTGTCTCTTCTTCTAACCAAAGCAGCTTGACAGATGAGACTTATCAGTGTTTGAAACAAAAATCTTGTTAGGAACAAGATTGGCTAGCAATTGTTCCAAGATCAACTTATTTCTTTTATATCATCTGAAGTTTCAGACCTTATCATTCTATGCTATATGCACTAAATATTAGTAAACAAGAAAATCTTACAATTATCATTTCTATCCAAAGAAATGTTATATATCTCACACACGCAATGTTAATTTAATTGTACCTGGGAGTATGGAGCACTAAATACTGGCTTCTTCAGTACTAGGATAGCAGACAATATGCACAATCTGAAATATTTGCATAAGTAATAATATGACATTTGTTTGTTTTTTTATTTGTACACAAATGGCCATTTGTGCATAAATGACTATATAAATTTCCTGCAAAAATAAAAAAAGCCCTAGTAAATCCTTAGAGCTAAGTTCACAACTAGTCTTTGAGAAACTCTGTTACCTAGCCTGTTTATATATACCTTTGCCAAGTGTTTATAGTGTAAAATATTTTCAAGAGAGCCTAAAAAAAATAAGAGCAGGGTGAGATAGTCTTTTTCTAGATGATTAAACTTTCCTTGTCACAAGGGAATTTTTATTCACCACAAATATCCACTTGTATAATTTTGTGTCCCTGCCTTAAACTTATGAAGTGTAGGTACTATCATTCTTATTCTAATATCTCATTCAATATCAAAGTATGTATTTCTTTTTTAAATGATTGACATCTACCTTATAAATAACTTTTGCTTTAAATTTTCAAGGGACTCAAGCAAGAACCTGATTAGAATACATCAAGATTATTACCTTTTACAGGGTGGTATATTACATGTCTGAAGATAGATTTCAGTTTTAGATTAAAATTATTCACACCTACTGAAAAAAAGTTAAAAGATTATACTACAACAGACTTAATTTATACATAGAATAAACAGAGGACAGTTCTGTTCCAAGAACATTTCTCTTCAGGTCACATAATGTTAACAATTCTATTTATACAGATGGGTTCTAGTAAGTCAGTTACCACTTTTGTATTACTCTTCATTAAATCTGCATTTCTATATAACAGGAAACAAAAGCAGCAAACCTAATTTAATCATCGCTGTCACTCCCAGATTCACTCAACTGCAAGTCATTTCCTGTTATTAAAAAAAAGAGAATTGTCTTAATTTTGAATTAAGTTCAACACTGATGAATTATGAAATGTTAGCTATGAGAGACATAGAGAGCAAAAATAGGCAGCAATTTTATAAGATCATTAAAGAGTTTACTCCAAGTGGATTAGTTTCTGGTATGTATATTTAAGACCAGAGTTCTATTATTTCTCTGTTCCTAGTGTTCTTTGACATGATTCACAAGAAGCCCAAATGTTGCAATGATTCCTATGCAAATCAAAACTCATAATTTTCTTTAATAAACTTGTGTACAACTAGAGTTTAGGTTTTTTATTTGCTCCATCACAGACTTGATCCACTAATGGGACTTTGAACAAATATGAAGTAAAACAACTGCATGTACTGTTAGTATCAGTTTCTTTAGACTAGATCTGAATCAGTCAGACCAATAACAACTGCCCTAAGTTATGAGGTCATGCTAAAAATGCAAGTCACTACTATCTATAAAAAAATCATGACATAAAGATTAACTATTAAGTGTATAAAGGGAAAAATAAAGTACATCTTGGAAAAGGAAAGTAAGTATTTCCAACAGAAGAGAATACATTTAGCTTAAAGTTGAATTGTGAAGTCCTTGGGTGCTCTCTGAGTTTGATTGTTTGCTTGCAGAAATAACAGCCATTATAATGGACCAACAAGAAGACCAGCAGAGTGCATCCATGAACACCAACTAGTAGTTAAAAGATACCCCTAAATGTCATATGGTCAGATTCAATCATAGCTTTGACTGAGAAACTGTGAGCATTCTAGAGCAAGCTAAATCCAAAATATCTATGGAACTCTTGGAAGCTTAGCATTCAGACAAATCAGCCATTAAAGAGAATCACATTTACAAATAATTCAAGAGAGATGGTAAAAAAAACTGAGGAGGAAACAGAAAGACCAGAACACATTCTCTCCAATCAAGCAGAAATAATATCGTAGTCAAGGAACCGATGATCTTATGAGAAAGAGTCCCGATGGAGCAGTGGTTAAAATGAAGTACTGTAGGCAAACTCTGCCCACAGCCTGGAGTTTGAGCCTGATGGGGCGGACTGAGCCTTCCATCCTTCTAGGTTGGTAAAATGAGGATCCAGATTGTTTGGGCAATATGCAAATAATGCTTCTATATTGTAAACTATCTAGAAAGTGCTGTAAAGCACTAAATGATGGTATACAAGTTTAAATGCTATTGCTATTACTTAACTAAGTAATGAAACATCTGCAAGCAAAGAACCAATTCAGAGAGCAGCAAGGACTCAATAGAAAACAAGGGTGTCTGTGAGTACAAAAGTCACTTGTTATCTGCAGTCTTATATCCACAATTATAGAAACCAAGCCTACAAATATTTTTGTATTTGCAAAAAGGTGCAAATGTTACACGTCAAAAAAGCAGACAAGCTTTTGTGGATGCATAAAATATATATTTGAAATAATTATATCATCTAAGCAAGATGCCTATATCACGTCTTCCTTTTCACTTAATTGCAGTTTGAGGCTCTAAGTAGCTTCTTTCTGACTTTTAGCTCCTTTCAAATTGCTTTCCTGGCTGATGATGGGAGCTGCCCTTCTTATACCATATGGTTTATGCTGGCTTCTCCACTGCCTGCAGTTGTTGCAGGATCTCTGTGGAACAACTTCTTGAATGTGCTCATCCTGTTCACATATAATTTATGAATTACTGATTTCCATAAGTTGTGTGTGGGCAGCATTAACATCCAGTAGCCTGGCAGAAATTAACCCAAGCAAGTTGTAGGCAGCATCACCATCTTATGGGGCTTCTGAATGCTAGTGCTGATTGCAGACTGTTCCCACAGTAAGTCATTTGAAAGAGGCTAGTTACCCAAAGGGAGCCACATGGAGCCCTCCTGATTGAGCTGACCCAATGGGATACATTTCAATTGGGCATGAGGAGCGGATAAAGATCACTACATAGACAACTCTTATGGGAGGAGGTCAGCCACAGACTCAACCCCAATTCCCAAAGATGAAAAATCTTGTTATTTCAGTACTGTTATCCCCCAGGAATGAGGGCAACTTGTACTTAGAGCAGCCTTCCTAAGCATGATGCTCTCATGAAATCTTGGTCTATAGTTCTTATAATTTCCAGGTTGCATTTATGTTGTATGATGGCTACTTAGTGAAAATACTTACTGAGAGTATTCATGAGTTGATTGTTGCCTTGTGCCCTGCCAGTACCATTGGCAACCACATTCTTGTTGTTACACTGCTGAGAAGGAGAAGGATGTGCAGTTTCACCCCCATCACTGCTGGAAGTTTCATCACCGCTCCCAGAGGAACTCTCAGAATCAGATGAACTGCTGCCACTACTGCTACTCATCTGCTCAATAATTTCAACCTCAGCTCTTAGTTCTAGAGTAAAAATAGGAGGGTCATTTTTAAAAAAAATTTTATTCATTAAAAAAATAGCCTGAGTTTTCTTAAGAAATTCAAAGTCACTTAGATAGCACCTACCCCTGCAATTCTAATTCTCTACATGGTTGATTTTGCCCTAGGATTGAAATTCTAATTTTAACTTAAATATAATGCTCCACTGGCTCTCAGTTATTTAGCCCACCCCAGATAGTCCATGGTTTTAAAAGATGTAACAGTTTTAATTAAATTACATTTGGTTTCAACTAGTATAATTGTGAGGTGACTGGCTGGTGAAGGTTATAAGCTGTACTCCTGCCACTGGAAAAATATACTGAAGAAAATTTACAGGGGGGAGTAATAGATTTTCTTCCCATCTCAGACAGTAGGCAGGCTATAATAAGTGTTCTACCTCTCTTAATATCATCCAATTGAGGCTCTGGTGAAGGATTGTCTTTCAGTGGGGATGTTTTAGGTCCAGCTGCAGGCTTTATTGGAGCTCTGAACTGGGTGGAAGATTGTGCAGCTCGAGCAGATTGCTGTTCTATCCGTGCTTGGATTTTACTGCTGCCTTCAGCTCTGAAAGGAAATATTAAAACAGATAACATGTATAATATATAATTGCTTTCCATACCTTATCATAACCTTAATTTATTTTGAGTCACACTATTTATTTTAAGAAACCCTTACTACTGTTTTCATATAGGAAATAAGTCCAGTATAATCTTGGGTCCTCCCTTTCAGACAAAGAACCTTTATATCTAATATATCTAATAAGGCTGTCTCTGCCCAACTCCTACCTGTTCCAAAATTGTTGATTTTGTTGGCTATTCTGCCAGTTAGAATTAAAATACAACTAGTGGTGAATTTGTGTGTGTGGAGATTTCTATAAGAGTAATTGGGCCCGCTTTTCCTACTTCTGTTCCCTCATATTGCTTCTCCTTTGTGGCTATGCAAAGTTCTTCCAATTCTAATCCTTCGTAGCTTGAGGGAATTATGGAATTAGGATTGGTACAGTCTTTGAGAGAAATGGGCAGCTTAGAAATATGAAATATAAACAGACAAACAAATAAATAAAATCCAATTTCTATTCTCTCATTTTCTCTGATATTAATAAATCTTAAATTAGAATTGTATAAATAAATATTACCAATGTACCATTTATGGAACTGCTAAATACCCATTCTTTCAACTGAAGAAGGAAAATTAAGTACTAGCTAAACTTTCTCAAGAATTAACTTTTAAAAATTTAAAATATCACCTAAGTCATCCCTCTGCTAACTTTATTAATGACTGATAAGATCAGTGATGATTAAAGTTCTAATATGGAGAGAAAGCATATTAGATATACTTGGAATAGCCATTTCATTTAAGAATGGAGATTATAGACTATGTACTAGACTAGTTTTCTTTCCACCATTCTGATATTTAATGTTTATTATTTTATATAGTCAAAATAAAAGCAGGTGATAGAAGAACAGTTATTTCAGAAAGAATTATACTCTATGTTGATCCATACTGGCCTCACATGTTTGAGCCTGTGTTACCTTGTCTTTTTGACTTGAATGCTGCTGCTTAGCTTTTCAAGCACATATTCCCCAGTATCATGGTTGATAATAAGTACACAGTCTTTTTGGAAAGGCCTTTTGTTTCCTTTGAATACAGTCATTGGAGGTGTAGAACCCTGATATTCAAGAAAAGTAAAAAATATATTTAAATCTAAATAAGTAGTTATGCATACGTAAGAAAAACAGATATAATAAATAGCATAATCAATGTCTCAAATCCAACTCAGAAGATTATGCTTTAATCTGTATTTTCTTAATATTTTGTTCTATGATAGTCATTGCTATATTTTTAGATGCAAGAAAGAAATCATATTTACTCTGGCAAAATTAGTATATAGAACTTGCTATTTACAAAAATGATTTATTCATTTGCTAATTTTCCAAAGAAAAATTGTCTGTATACTATGCCTGCTACAAAGAAGAAACATCTGAAATTAGAAGAGACAATAGTTATAAACCAGTAGAAAAACATTTGTTGATTTTGCTACAGCAGACTGATATGGCTAACTCTGTGATTATAAACACCATATTAAATATTCTATCACTGTGCAGATAGGCCAGGGGTAGGCAACCCAAAACACTCAAAGAGCCACTTGGACCCGTTTCCCACCAAAAACAAAACACCAGGAGCCGCAAAACCCTTTTGATATCTAAAATGAAGATAACACTGCATATATCCTTTTTTACCTTTATTATAGGTGTGTGTGTTTGTGTGTGTGTGTATGTATGTATGTGTATGTGTATGTGTGTATATTAAAAATAAAAGTAAAAATAAAAGTAAAAATATGACATTAAAAATAAAAGTATAAATATGACTCTTGGGAATATCCATACTATTAAAACAATGATCACCAGGAGAATGCTTTAAGAGAATAAAATTATATACACACACAGGTGAAAAAAGGATATATACAGTGTTATCTTCATTTTAGATGTCAAAAGGATCTCTCTCTCTCTGACTCTCTCCCTCCCTCTCTATCTGCCCTTGGTCTGCCACTCCTCTTCCCCCACTCTCTCTCTCTCTCTCTCTCTCTCTCTCTCTCTCTCTCTCTCTCTCTCCCCTCTCTCTCTCTCTCTCTCTCTCTCTCTCCCCT